GGCCTGGCGTCATGACCCCGCAGCCCCTGCCCTCCATCCAGATTGTCCAGACTCTGCCCGCGGTCCAGCTGGTGCACACGTTTTGAGGAGAGCCACCTGCACCTCATCCCGCCCCAGCGGACCCCGGTCTGCTGCCTGGACTGGGGGTGGGGTGTGGGGCGTGGGCGGGGCGGGCTGGGTTTGCTAATAAAGACCCAGAATCTCCTCCCGCCTTTTGTTTTCATGGGAGGAGGACGGGCGGGCAGTGTGGCGGCCCTGGCCCCCGCTGGGAGTCTTTCTGGCTCGCGGATGACTTGTTTTGCATCTTGGAGCGGGTCACTGCTTTGCGTGGGGACCAGTTGCCCCATCCTTAAGAAGGCGGGGGCGTAGGGTGGGGCAGGGGTCACTACAGCGAAGAGGTGTTGGAGCGAGAATCCAGGTAATGCCGCTTATTCCCTACTAGTCCATCCCACTCCTCCTCTTGTCTGAAAATGGGAGGGGGAGATCCTTATTCGGAGGGGCACTGCGAGTCCGGGCACCCCGGGGATTGGCGAGGCCCCAGGGGACGGCGAGGTGGTCGCCCGCGGGCTCGGATGCTGAGCGCTGCCCCCGGCCTCTCGCGCAAAGACCCCAGCGCCAATGAGAATCGATCCGCTCCCGTCACGCCCCCTCCCGCGCGCAGGTTGCTTAGCAACGAGGGGACGTCGGGAAAGCAGGTTGCGCTAACCCTCCGCGGGCCGGGTGAGTACCGCTCCTCGTGCTCCCCCACCGCGACCCCCGCCGGCGTCCGCTCCCGTTGCCCCTCCCCCCAGACCCTTTCCCTCACTACTGCTCCTCCAGGAATCGGAGAGGTCATTTCCCGGTCCCCGGCCGGCTCCTAGCTCGCTGCCTCGGGCCCTCCCCGGCCCACGCTGTTCCTCCTCCACGCACGCCCCCCGCCCCCGCCCTCGCCCTCGGGGGAGGCTGGCAACAGTTGCTACGACCGAGAGCAGGCGGCGCCCCGCCTCCCTCCCTACGCGAGTTACGTCACTTCCGTCGGCGAGCCCTTCTCGACTTGCTCTCCCCGCCACCTCTTGTCAAAGGATCGAAGTGACCCGGGGAGGTGCTTGCAGGTCCTTGCTCCTGTGACGCGGGGCGGGGACGACTGTGGAGGAGGGGCGCCGGGGCCCGGGGCGGAGGGAGCGTGGGACCCTCTCTGGCAAGTGGGGAAGGGGGTTCGTAGCCCCCCAGGGCAGCCCCGGCGTCCGGGGCTGCAAGGTGCTGTCGTGCACAGCGCGCTGGGAGAAGGGGGCAGGTCGCCGGACACCGCGGGGTGGGGGCTTCCCGGGAGACCTTAGGAAGGTCGCTGGGCACGGGTGCGCCTGCCCCGCCACAGTCCTCGCTTGAGGGTCCTGAGAGTCCTCAGTGTCCTGCTACCCGCCCCTTGGGGGCCCTGGTGACAGAGGCGCCCACCTGCTGCTGACCTACTTTTATTCTCGCCAGTCGCACGACGCCAGCTCCCTTTTGGGGGCGGGGGCCCGGGGGCTGCCATGGCCCCCAGCCACCTGTCGGTGCGGGAGATGAGGGACGATGAGAAGCCCTTGGTGTTGGAGATGCTGAAGGTGAGAGCAGGGCCCGCGAGGCTGTGGCAGTGCAGGGGGCGTTGCAGGGGGCTCACCACCGCCCCCACCTGCGCCAGCCCTGACCCCTGGAGGGGTTCCCCCAAGCTACATCCTTGCTTGGCTCCTCTCTAGTGCCTTCTCCTTGCACGAGCCCCAGCCATACTGGAGGGTGTGGGGGCTGATGTCCAGCCCCTAGTCCAGGGCCCGCAGCCCTCACTGCCTCCCTGGCCTCCTGCCTCCAGCCTGTCCTGCATGCCAGTACTCTCTGCTGCCCAACCCAAACTCTGCCAAGCTCAGCCCAGCATCGGGCCTGGCCCTGCGGTCCCCTCCAGCTTCCACTTGGCCTCACAGTGGGCTCCCATTCCCGTTCCGTTCCAGCCTCCTCATCCTCCAAGGGTCACTTCCCTGGTGCCTCACTGCCACACCTCCACCAAACTGGGTGCCCCACACCTCCTAACTCACTGCTTCATCCATTGTTAATTCATTCGTTCACTCAACACCCAGTGTGCTGTACTGGTTGCTGCCCACCACACTGCTTTCCCTTCACCTTTTGGGGTCCTCACACTGCCCCAGGCAGGGTCTGTCTTTTCTGCTAGTCCCAGGGACCATGGCTTGATGGAAGGCTGAGTCCCTTCTGCTCCTCCTGCTCACAGGCTGGCGTGAAGGACACGGAAAACCGCGTGGCCCTGCATGCTCTGACGCGGCCGCCGGCCCTGCTCCTCCTGGCGGCGGCCAGCAGCGGCCTGCGCTTCGTGCTGGCCTCCTTTGCCCTGGCCCTCTTACTGCCAGTGTTCCTGGCTGTGGCGGCAGTGAAACTGGGCCTGCGGGCCCGGGGGGGCTCACTGCCTCCGCCGGGCGGCCTGGGGGGCCCCTGGGTGGCTGTGCGGGGCTCTGGTGACGTTTGCGGGGTCCTGGCCCTGGCTCCTGGCATGAACGCGGGGGACGGGGCCCGGGTCACTCGCCTCTCTGTGTCCCGCTGGCACCGTCGCCGGGGCGTGGGCAGGAGGCTGCTGGCCTTTGCTGAGTCCCGGGCTCGAGCCTGGGCCGGGGGCATGGGAGAGCCCCGGGCCCGGCTGGTGGTCCCCGTGGCCGTCGCCGCCTGGGGGGTGGCAGGGATGCTGGAGGGATGCGGCTACCAGGCCGAGGGCGGCTGGGGCTGCATGGGCTACATGCTGGTGCGGGAGTTCAGCAAGGACCTGTGAGGCCTGGGACGGGTGGGTGAGAAGCCAGCCCCTGCTGCCCACTGTGGGCCAGTCACTACAGCCCCCACTCCTGTGAGTCCCCAGTGCCGGCCCACACCTGCCGCCTGCAGAGGGCAGGAGCCGAGCTTGCTGCTGAGGTCCTTGCAGTGTGGGGTCTGGCATTGACCTCAGAGCGGCGAACCCACCCCAGCCCTCTGGCCCCCTGAGGTCAGCCCGCCGCCCCCTGCCTCCAACTCTGCACCGGGCCCCCTCCCGCCTGCACCGCCTGCGCCCTGTGCTGCAGGCCCGGCCAGGATGGAGGTCGCGGAGGCCCAGCCACCTGGCAAGATCTGGGCGCTGGGACTTGCCAGCCTCCCTCCCCTCTCGGGGTGGACTCTTGTCCCTGGAACGGCTGAGGTGGGCGGGGGCGGGGCTGCCCGGGCCCTCAGGGACGCTCAGCCGAGGGGCACCCGGCCCGCCCACAGCCGTCCGGTTTTTCTACAGTTTGCTAATAAAGCCTGAAACTGCCGAGCGCCTGTCTCATCTCTGATGCCTTTTCCAGTTGTCTCCGGACACCCGCCAGCCTCCGTCTGGCTCCGCCTCCCTGGGTTGACATTAATTGTTGGGGGTGCTGGACGGGAGAAGGGGAGGCAGTGAGCTCGGGGCAGCCCCGGCCCTGCCAGGCCTTCTGAGTCACGCTCCCCATTACCGAATTTTTTCCGCCTCCCAGCTGCCTGGTGAGGAGAGTGTGTGTGTGTGTGTGTGTGTGTGTGTGTGTGACAAGCACGTGTAGGCCCCCTCCCAAGGCTTGGCCCTTGGCTTCCCATCCCCCACCCCAGGGCCCTCTGGCGACACTGACACTCAGGCACACTTCCCTCAGGTGGGGACTGGGGGGCTTCACATTCAAATCCACCAGTGAGGTGGGGAACAGAGAGAGGGTTTCTCAGTCTCTTCTCCTAATGCAGGAAGTTCCTCCTGGTGTCTGGCTGCAAGCCTTCCTGCTGGTGCAGGTCTACTAGGTCTACTCCGACCTCAGCCCCAGCAGTGGTCTGACCCGGGAGAGGAGGCAGGAGGTAGGAGCCCCCTCCTGCCCAGGTGGCCCCCACGCACACATTCCC